AAATGATAAGAATTATATATTATAAAAATAAGAATTTTTATTTTTGGGTGAACTAAAAACATGACTGCACTTAAAAAACATTAAAAACCAGGTATAAATGCACCCAAGATGCATTGCAATCAGACAACAATGTGAAGGATACAACAGATACTGAGCGCCTCTAGTTTGTTCGTCTGATTTAATTAACAATATCCAATTATTTAACAAATTATTTCACTGGATTAAACTTGGAAATCTTGTTTTTGTCTCATTTCTTTCCCAAAAATGCAAGAAATCATGGAAAGCATTTTGAAGTACCTGCCAAGTTGGAAATATTTGAGTGTTCCATCATCATTTACTCAACCTCATGTCATTCCAAACCTGTACCATTTTCTTTCATTTTCAACATTTTAAAGAATGTTGGTGTCCAAACAACATCGGAACCCCTTTGAAATTCATTGTATGTATAAACATTGTATTTTTAATATATCAAAAGAAAGTCATACAGGTTTGGAACAAAACAAGGGTGAACTATCCCTTTAAAACAACCATATAGGTACAGACCCAGAGCAGAAACTGTCAGCACTACAAAGGACCTGTTTTCAGTTTTAAGTCTTGTTAATACATACTCTTGCAAAACAAATCTACCAAACTACTTCCGACTGTAAGTTTGTATGTCTAAGAACTTCTAATGCAAGGTCACATTGCTCACGCAGCTTCAGCCCTCCTCTCAGGCTGCTTTGAAGGCTCGATTGAGTCCAGTAACTTGTGTATTAAGCAATCCGTCATCAAGGCAAATGTTTTAATTGGTATGATTATTCTTTAATAATATTATGATTTCTTTAAGCAGGCATCGCCATTAAAAGTTAATGAGATGAGTATGACCATGACAATATAATTAAAACCCTCAGGAGTTTCTGAAGCTGACCATTAATAATTTAGTGTGAGCTGGAGCATGAGACGGCCTAGCTCAGTAGTCTGCTTAGGGAGAGAGAGAACGAGAGGACCGAGAAAATAAAACTGCTTTGCCTGTCATGATGTGAGTTTACTTTGATTAAGGGCTGAATTACCAGACTATCAGAGATGTGTCACTGTTAAATCCCTCTGTTAAACACCTTTTGGGATGCGCATCTCTTATTTGATACCAGTGTATTATAAACAGAATCGTTTGAACTCTGGAAAGTCGGGGATGAAAACAGGAGCTGTGCTCAAAATGCACGCAGAGTCCTCGGAGCGGAAGTATCACAGAGTACACATATTTGGAGTCATCCTCACTCACACAGTGCTCTCCACTCAGGGTAAACATCTGGTGCGGCGCGGGTCTCTCTGTCTCCATCTTACAACAATATTTATCGCAGCGGGCTAATGCTCTGTCCTCAACTCACAGCTGAGAGCCTGTGAACCTCACCATGACAAACACAACCTGGAGTAAGTGAGTGTGTGTACAAAGGCCAATGCAGATAATCAGGTTACGTAGCACTGTGGGGAGTCAAGTTCACCTCGCTTTCATTTGAATTACCCTCACATCTGTACCCAGGGCAAGCAAAGAATGAAATCCTACTGTACAGCCATTTGAGAAAAATACAAATCCAAAAGCCCTTTGACCCTGAGAAATGACATTGCGGATTTTTAAAAAGCAGTTTTTTACATTTTCTGAAGAAAATGAGTGCTGCTTGTACAAAACTTGTTGCTGTTGTGAAAGATCTTATCCCTCTTCCTCAATGCCTAATTAAAAAAAGCAGCGCATTATTGTGATAACTTGTCCTTAATAAAAATATTATATATATATATATATATTCATTTATTTAAAAAGCTTGTCTTAACAGTTACGTAATGCAAAGCTAGTAAACTAAGTTGTTAACTTGCTAACTAAAAACAAAGTAATTTTTAGCCTCAGTTTATAATTAATCAAAATTAAAATATGTAAATTAAGTAAGATATTTTCATGATCAAGAAAATACACTGTAAAGTGATTTTCATTTCCAATCAGGCACCAAATTGAGTACATATAAAAAAGGAAAGGAGATAATATCTTACATAACTCCGACAATATTCTAGGGTGATTGCTAAGTGGTTGCTAAGGTTCTGGATGGTTGCTAGGTGGACACTTGCTGGCCCAAGTTAAAAGACTGTCCTCTGAAGTCTCTATGATATTCTGGTACATCTTTCAGTGTAATTCTATGGGATTTTTTTGTTGTTTTATCATCAGCCAAGTAAAAATCTGAGCTCTGATCACTCAGAAAAGTAATATTACACCTTTCCACAACAATCCTCATAATTTAGGGTATCTTGCCATGGGACAGAGCGAAATTTAATACGCAGGGTTAGGGGCAGTGCTGTTCTTACTAACTAAATATAAATCTAAAAACTATTAAAAATCATTGACATAAAATGAAAGCTGAAATAAAATAAATATAAATATTAGATGAAAAATATACATTTCTAAAATTTCTAAAACTAAAACGGAAATAAATATACATTAAGGCTAAATAGCAATAGAAAGTAAATAAATAGAAACAGAAAAAACTAATAAAAATGATAACTAAAATAACAGCACTTAAACTAAACCTAAACTAAAATTGAAAATATAAAAGTTAATTAAAAATATTAATAAAACAATGTAATAATATAACATTGGTTAGGGGCTAAAACCAAAAAAAGTAATATGCGGTGTAGTAACAGTAATATCTAATATATTAAGCTATTAATCAAACGTCCAAAGATTAAGCAAGCATGCAATTAAATAAAAGCCAGGAAAATTTATGAAAGACAAAAAAAACACACCAGAAAAAAGTAAACCAAAACATCTATTTGTTGTCTTTGCTACTTTTCTGTTGCAAATGGCTTTGAGATGCAATGCAAATGTAATATGTAGGAAGGCTTTATTTGCTCTTTTTCAAACAGAAAGGCAAAAACTAGTTAGGAAGAGAGATCTAGAGGAAGAGAGAGAAGACCTTTACTAGGCAGACAGGAAGAACGGGGGGTGCGGTGGGCCTTCATGCAGAAAGGCAGCGAGCTGAAGGCAGACGCCGTGCGTGGAAAAAGCTCATAAATCCTGATTTGAGGCGGCCTCACTGCAGCACTACATTGCTTAAATGCTACGTCTGATTTAGTCTTCCCATTAGGTGACAGCTGAACTTTAACATTAATATGATAATATTGAAATAAGTGTGTGTTATTTACTTAGCGGCGGGGCAGGATGGAATAAGAGAGAGACAGAGGGAGGTGGGAAGCAAAGGAGGATGATGAATGATTTCTGGACAGCTTCTGTGACACCCGGCGGCCGCGGCCCCTCTAATGAGACTTGACAAAATAGAGACATATGCAGAAATATCGGTTACAGTCTGCGTCCCCGGCATCTTGCTTTCTCTCTCTGTGTCTCTCCTCCTGTCCTTCTCGCTCGCCGCACATGCCCTGATTGTCTACGACCACTGAAGCATCTATTTCAATTGGCACTTCCTTCCTGGCCCCGGGGTTTTAAATTTAGCTGGTGTCATTTACATATTACTCTTAATCAAAAAAAGAAAAAAAGAAACAAAACCTTGTCGTCACGGTTCAGGATAGGGTGCATAGGCACTTTATAAAACGGAGATGTGACAGACGTTTAACTGAATTGTGCGTGTGTGAAGGAGAGAGATGAGGCTGGCGGAGAAAACAACAGTAAGTAGAACAGAGAGAGAGAGAGAGAGAGAGGAGAGAGAGAGAGAGAGAGAGAGAGAGAGGCTGTGCATTGCTACAGTTATCTCACATCTACCACACAGGGAAAAAAGCCAATATCTCATCAGCCTGCTGATATGAATGATGAGTTCTGCTGTTTAAAGCTGATACTACATAGAGACAGAATAGTGGCAGGAACACTAGATCTGCTTTAGGGCAGAAGAGTGTTGAAAAAACCCAAATGCATGATGACTAGGCCCACATGGAATCTGTGCCTGTAGGAGCCAGAACACTGAATCTGAACATACGTGATTCATTAAATTATATTGATAAATGCTGATGAAAAAAAAAATAGTATACACACACTATACTGTAAGTAACATATATACATACACTACCATTCAAAAGATTTTTGATAAAAATAAATATATACTTATAAGTTAATTCTTTTATTCAGCAAAGATGCATTAATCAAACGTAACAGTAAAGACTTGTACAGGAAAAACAAAAAAAACATTTAAAATAAATACTGTTTTTTTTTAATAGTATATTAAGATGCTTTCTGAAGGATCAGGTGACATTAAATGCTGGTGTAATGATTGCTAAAAAAATCAGCTTTGCCATTACAAGAATAAATTACATTTTAAAATATATACTTAAGGGGGTCTGAATACTTTCCGTACCCACTGTAATTTAATATTGTAATAACATTTCACAATATTACCATTTTTACTGTATGTTTGATCAAATTAATAAAGCCTTGGTGTGCTTAAGAGACTTCTTAAAATGTTTTTTTTTTGTTGAAAGTTCAACATTAAAAAAATAAATAAATGAATTAAAAAAAATTATTGTAAATTTATTATATGTAAATTTAAAAACCTATATAAAATTACAAAAAAAGTATCAAATATGCTTATCAATAAACTATAGATAAAACAGATTGATATTTGTAACTTATAAACAGATTTTGAAAGAGTGCACAACTGAAAAGTGAAAAGCATAATTATGAAGGCCTATGGGAGTTTCTATGGGAATGCTAAATTTTTTTATCCAGAATTCCACACATTTTCCCACATAGTAATCATATAAAATGTGAATGTGCAGATACAATGGAAGTCAAATAATGACTAAAACTGATCTGTTACAATATGTTCATTCACATACAACAATGTATTGAGAGGAAGTGGGGTGTTCGGGGTAATTGGATTTGACTGAATTACTAATTACAACACCATTTATATTCATGCTGTGCAATCGCAGTGCATAACAATAAGTGTGTACATTTGAGTACATTTCATGCAGTGGATGGGTATTAGGCTGCATCCATAGAGAGGTATCAGAAACGGTCCCTACCTTCCTCTTACCTTCTCAGCATGCTGGTCAGGATCCGAGAGCTCTTGCCCAAGTTGGCGTCCGTCTCTCTCAGCTGTGGAGAAGAAGAGAGAGTAATCATATAAAATGTGAATGTGCAGATACAATGGAAGTCAAATAATGACTAAAACTGATCTGTTACAATATGTTCATTCACATACAACAATGTATTGAGAGGAAGTGGGGTGTTCGGGGTAATTGGATTTGACTGAATTACTAATTACAACACCATTTATATTCATGCATCTCGGCCAAATATTGTCCTATCCTATGTATACATTTGAGTACATTTCATGCAGTGGATGGGTATTAGGCTGCATCCATAGAGAGGTATCAGAAACGGTCCCTACCTTCCTCTTACCTTCTCAGCATGCTGGTCAGGATCCGAGAGCTCTTGCCCAAGTTGGCGTCCGTCTCTCTCAGCTGTGGAGAAGAAGAGAGAGGAAAAAAGAAAAGAGAATGTCTACGTTAGAGGTCATGTTAAACTTGTGCTATAAAAATAGGCTTAGAATGTTTATAGACTTCAGTCAGAGAAGACTGTCTATAGCTACGAAATTAACTGTTATTAATCCAGTTTGTACTTCTTTTCATGCCTGTTGCTACACATTTTTTCTCTTTTAAGTGTATATATACTTCTGGTCAAAAGTTTGGAATAATATATATTTTTTTAAATATTTTTGAAAGAAGTCTCTTATGGTCACCAAGGCAGCATTTATTTGATCAAACATGAAATAAAAACTTTTATTATTACAATTGAAAAGACGTTTTCTATTTTAATATACCTTAAAATGCAGTTTAAATGTAATTTAAAATGTGACGGCAAAGCTCTATTTATTCTAGTCTTTAGTGTCACATGATCCTTCAGAAATTATTCTTCAGATACTATAAGACTAATTTTACTATTCCAAAATATTTTACTGGTAGTGCATGTTTTACATTCAATATATGGCTGAAGTAGGGGGATGCATAAGTAAAGGCGGTATTTCTGGAGATGTCTGTGTGTGTGTGTGTGTGTGTGTTTAGGAATGCTGACATTGCTATGGAAGTGAAGCCAGAGCTCTGGCAGCGTCAGATACGTGATTCTGGCTGGCCTCCTTGAGAAAGCCTCCTTCTCTGTCGTCTCAGTCAGCAGGGACATGTGTATGTGTGTGTGCGCGTGTGTGTGTGTTAGCGGGCAGGCTTGGGGACATATGTGGTTTTAGGCGGGTTTGGGTTCTGGCACCACCAACAGCCCAAGAGCTGCCTGATGTCTCTCTCAATGATAGATCTGTCCAATGAGAGCTTCCTCGGCTTTTCCCAAAATCCCTCTTTCTTTCTCTCTCAGGTCAGAGTTGTGCCAATACAAAAACACATGGTGGAGCTCTCTGTGAATTAAGAACCCAAAACAAGACCCACAACAATAGAGATTACCAGTACAGCAGATCTAGAGCAGAGTCCGATTACAGACTTGTACAGTAAACGGTCTTGGTAAGATGATTTCCAGTAGCTCGATTCAATGCCTGAATTTCATTGAAAAGAGTTAAAAGAGCTACAGTCACGCAGACCTAAACCTAAATAAAGAAAAATACAATGAACAACAATCAAAGCATAACCAGAAACAGGAATATTAGCCATTTAAAAATACATTATAAGCATAATATTTACACTTTATGAAATTTGGTCACTGTATTCATAATCAAAATGTGACTCTTATAATCTTTTGATCTCAAATTGATAAATAGAAATCTTGACATTTGAAAAAGCCACTATAAGTAAAAACAGGAACAAGTGGTACAGAAAAATTCTGACCAATGAGGGTGCAGTTTTTATTTTATTAACAAATTTTGGTCTGTTTTGAAACGCTGCCTTGGCAAAGCTAACCCAGCCAGGGAGATCAAAGAAAAACAGACTATGAAAATTGAAAACGACCAGAACTCTATGGGATTTAATGTTTACCATGCAAAAAACATCAGAATGTCAGAACCATCTTGACATTCGGAAATGCTGCTTTAAGCTAATCACTGTAATATAAATGGCACACATTCTGACCAATGAGGTGGCAGTTTATTCCCATGTGACAAATTTTTGCTCTTTTTGAAATATTACATTGTGAATAAAATCGCAGAACAAAATGCAACACTCTAACAATTTAGTCTCTGTTTCAGAACAAAGAAGCCAAAACATGAACAGAAAACTACCTAAAGTCTGTGGGATCCCCCCCCCCCCCCACACCTTTTTTAATGTTTATCATGCAAAACATCCAACTTGGACATCCAACCACCTTGACATTCAGAAATACCACTTTGAGCTAAACACTGGAATATATAAAAGACACAAAAACATTCTGACCAATGAAGTAGCAGTTTGCTCCCATGTGACTTTTGCAAGACAAAATGCAATACGGTTTCAATTTAGTCCCCATTTCAAAACAGAGATACCAAACTATGAATTTAAAACGTATCTTAACTATGGGATTTTGCCAAGTTGGTGCAGGATAAGTTATCTGTCTATGTTAGAGATAGAGGCCTGTTCATATACACCGAGGATGAGCAATAGTAATAGTGGCGCTTGCAAGGCACTACGTCTCTCTTAGTGTTTGTGTGCGTCTGTTTGAAAGAGACTGAGTGAACTGATTGTTAAGAGACACTCTAAAAACTCTTTCATCTGCTGTTTCCTTCGCTCAAAAAGCAGTTTATTGCTCTTTCCATCTAATGTCTTCTTATCATGCTTTCTTTTCTTTTCTCCTCTCCATTTCTCCTGCCTGGCAAAATGTCTTTAAAGTGTGAGGGCCAGTCAGGGCTCCGGGGAAGGAGAGCTATTCTCCATAGACAGCAGACCTTTGAAAGGAAATGTTTTATTTCCTTTGAAATGAGCTGCCTGCCCAACTGCCATGTTGTGATCTTTAAGCATCCTTCATAAGAAGCCATCAGAGAGGCCCCTGACTGAGCTCTCTATACCTGTCTTCTAGAAAGAAAGAGAGGGTGAGAGAGAGAAAAAGAGAGAGAAGTAAGACTATGACAGCGGACACGGCAGGGACAAACAAAACAGGAGGGATAGACTGAGATATGGAAAGGTAAAAACGATTATACATGCAGAGGATAAAGTAACAAATAAAGGTTGAAGTAAGGGGGGGGGGGGGGGGGGTTGGGGGAGTAAAACAGGGATGAGGATGTAGAGAGAAAGACATTTGATACCTGGCAGGAGGAGTGACACTCAAAAAAGCTTGCAAACAGTCCTCTATATCAACACCTTCCAATCTTAGCGTGGCATACTTATGTCTATATTGCCCTGAAGGATATAGATACGGCTGGGTAAAAAAAAAAAAAGATTTTTCCAATACAACTTTTTTAAAATGACAGATATATATTTGTATATGTATATAAATATAATAAATATGTATATATAAATTCGCATTTAAAATCACACTACCGAATCTTACTCCTTTTGATGTTATATACATTTATATTTTGTACACACACATAAATACACACACACACACACACACACACACACACATATATATATATATATATACACACACACATTTACATATACATATACATATACATATACATATACATATGTTTGAGGTCGAAGATAATTGCGATTCAGAAACAATTTAAATTGAGAAATTACAGATATATTTCATTTATGGATGTTCTATACATATTAGATATACTGGCAACAAAAACTACTTTTCGTGACACTCAAGTTACACCTAAAATATATGAATGCCATTGAATAAGATACAATATATAAAAGTGGCATTTACTGTATTAAAAAAAATTGCACAAGCAGACCATAAGGAAAAAAAAGTCACAAAAAGAAACCGTTAGGTTATAAATTATAAAAATATAGAAATACAGTTATTCTAGGGCACCTACATTATATCTACATCTACTAAAAGTTACCTTTACCCTTAATTAAAAGTTAAAATAGCTAGGGGAAAAAATGGCACAGAAAAGTGAAGTTAGTTCTGTGAAAAGGAGTGTAATTTAGTAGCATTCTTAATAGATTCATTCTTAATGGATACATTCTTAAATGTGGTTTAAGTGTCCAAATATATTTTTGAGTCCACTGTAAATATATATTTCATAAAAAGTATCTTGTGTAATGTAGTCTACACCAGTCTGTAATCAACAATCCCTTTCGTGACATCCGTCCAGCATAGTCACACATGTAGCGGAAAGACTTGCAGAGTTATAGCAGCTGAAAGAATGGAGAACAAATGCTTGTGTTGTCCAGCTATGCCCGTTTAGACAGTCTTGCATCATGCGTGATCTCACCGCATGAGACGGGACAACTACAAAGGCTTCTTATTGGTGCTGTACTCTGTGTCAAACATTCTGTGTTCTGTACATTCATTCAATCAATCATTCCAGAAGGCCCGCTATGCTAATGTGTGAGAGGTGCGAGCTGGTGTTAACTGCCTGCACTTGAGTACGCTCCTGTTCTCTTGTCAAGTGTCTGATCTAGGGCACTTTGTGTCATCCTAAAGAGCCAAGATCTGATCAAGTCAAGTATTTGTAAGCCTGTGTAATTGCTTAGTGAGAAAAATGTGTATGTGTTTGTTCTGGATGAGTGTTGCCTCCTGAGGACTGTCTAAGGAGAGTGTTTGTGGGTGTAAACTCACCCGATCACGGGATCTCTGGATCTTCTCGCGATCGCTGTGCAGGTTGGTGAGGATCTCCTGTCCCACTTGCTCTGTAGGAGGATAAGAAGAGAAACATGTTAAGATGTGGTTGTATTTACTGCTGTTTGGCTAATCTTCGAGGGGAAAGTTTAGTCGCTTCAATAGGGATTTACGTGATAGGGAATTTATTTTGCAAATAGATAAAGTGTAATAAAATAAACAAATTGTGGAAGTTTTCTTTTCACTCGTCTGAAAGATGACGTTATGGAAGCAAAATAGCCCACCATCTTGACCAGTGACGGAAAAAAAAAGGTTGTGCCTGTAGTGTCTTGTCTTAAATTTTTTTTACTTCGTCTCAAGTTATAGAATTACAATGAAGGAGAGACATATCAGGATCTCAGAAACTTGAAAGTGGGCTCTTCTTAAAAAAAAAAAAAAAGAAGCAGTCAAAAAACCACAGCAACCACCTAGCAACACCCTGCCTCATGTAAAAGTCTAGTTTCAACCCTGATTTCTGATGTCTGGGGATCTCAGTTGGTGAGGATCTCCTGTCCCACTTGCTCTGTAGGAGGATAAGAAGAGAAACATGTTAAGATGTGGTTGTATTTACTGCTGTTTGGCTAATCTTCGAGGGGAAAGTTTAGTCGCTTCAATAGGGATTTACGTGATAGGGAATTTATTTTGCAAATAGATAAAGTGTAATAAAATAAACAAATTGTGGAAGTTTTCTTTTCACTCGTCTGAAAGATGACGTTATGGAAGCAAAATAGCCCACCATCTTGACCAGTGACGGAAAAAAAAAGGTTGTGCCTGTAGTGTCTTGTCTTAAATTTTTTTTACTTCGTCTCAAGTTATAGAATTACAATGAAGGAGAGACATATCAGGATCTCAGAAACTTGAAAGTGGGCTCTTCTTAAAAAAAAAAAAAAGAAGCAGTCAAAAAACCACAGCAACCACCTAGCAACACCCTGCCTCATGTAAAAGTCTAGTTTCAACCCTGATTTCTGATGTCTGGGGATCTCGGACTACATCTCCTTCTCACCAACATGCTGTCTTAAATATTTTGCAAATCCCAGCATGCAGTATCAGACCAAGCCCGATCAGCACATGCAATATTCAGCTGCTCGCGTACAAACACATTTCATCTGTCATGGACGTACCACCCATTTACATGCTCACACTTAGATAAACATCTCATACATGGCGTCTGACAATCCTGTCTGTGGTCACTGTCATATTCACATCCCAAGGGTCGAAAGAAAAAAAAAAAACAATGAACAAAACAAAAATCCCACCCTCCCTTCCTCCAGCAATAACCCTCTCCACTGTAAGTAGAAACCACATTAGCAGTCTGAAGAGGAAGAGAGTAAAAAAAAAAGTGAAGTGAAAAATCTTTGCATGGATCAAAGCTATGCTTTCAAATGCACCAAACAATTGTGAGTAAACAACGCACTCATGACTGGATTTACGCTACACAGGTGCAGCTCTCAAAGAGTCAGCGTGATGCTCAAGGAACAGAGGAATGGGCTACATCTGCGTTCACAGAGAACGAGAAAGACTGAGGCACTTAAACACGCGTCTCTTGCCTTCATTAATTTCCAATCAGAGTGAGGACAGATTGAAGGATACTCAGATTAGATGGAGCAGTCACAGCGCATGTGACAGATAGGCCAGATTAAAAGAGCGAATAGAGATATTAATAACCATCATAACTGTGGCCGGCTGTCGAGCCTGAGACACACTGCCGCCCACCCGTGAGTGGAAATCTTGTGTAAAGAAAATTAAGCACCGCTATCTGTCTCTGTCCAAGGCGAAAGGGGCCTTTAAACATGTAACAATGCAACACACACGCGTGCAGACACGCTCGCTCATACATCACTTCAGATGATAGATGAGACCATTGGCATGAAGCAAGGACTAAACGCAAATGAAACAATCCTGTCAGCGCTCTATATTCTATGCTCAACGAGATATAAATAAACAGAAGGAGAAAAAAACGAACTTGCTTTGCACAATAGATACAATAGAAAACTTTGACTGTCATGTTTTTCAGATGCCTGTGAGCCGAAATTTAACCGCTTTCTTGATAGCGAGATATTCAGAGTCAAGGTCTCCTATTCAAGGGTCACACGCTTCACTATCGCCATTGACTCCGATTGTTGGCGTCCACATATTTTAATGCTCATTCTAATGAATGTGGAGTGAATAAAAAATTAATTCAAAAGAAATATGAAGGGACAAATAGAGCAGTTACATAAAAGAATTTCCACAAAATCAATAAACAGGAGGGTTGGCTGACCGACTGCATAAAACTGTGCCATAATGTCTTCCTGTGCCACTGAAAACATGGAATAAAAGCTGTTAAACCAAACTCCGTATAATGTAATATTCCTGCGGCCAACACTCTGTAAAACACATTATGGACTCTGGTTTCTTTTTCCCCTGTGCATGAGTGCAAAGATAAATATTTCTCTTAGTTGTGGGACCGCAAATTGATGTTGCCATTAAGCTCCAAAAGCGCGCACACACACACAAAAAACACACACTGTTGGACGATTAGCCGTGTGTACATCGCATCCCACGGGTGAGAAGAACTTTACCAACCCACAATTCCACGGCTCTCTTCCTCTCTTGTTATATCCGTTTGTCTCTGTCTATATGTTTCATTAATAATCTGATCTATCTGTCTCTCTTCTTGATTTGTATATTTGTAGAGTAATGAGACTTGGACAAGAATGTGGCAAAGGTTTGAGCAGAGAGTTTGGCTGGAGAAAAACAAACTCTGTGAGAAGGGGAAAACGACATGATTTCTCTTCCTTCCTTTTCTATGAAGAAAAAAAAGAGCCGTTAGAGGGGCGAAAAAGCACTGACTTTTCACTAGACACTGTCGAGGGATAGTTCACCCAAAAAATGAAAATTCTGTCGTCATCGTTTACTCTCGTTTTGTTCAAAACCTGTATGACATTGTCTTCTGTGGAACAAAAAATTTAGACTAATATTTTAGCTGTTTTGTGCATACAATGACAGTCAATGGGGTCCAAAACAACACTGACTTTCATTTTTTCCCCCCCCCCCCCAAAAAAAAAAACAGCCATTTTTCATAATATCTTCTTTTGCATTACACAGAAAGACATGCAGGTTTAGAACAACATGAGAGTTAATAAATAATGATGACATTTTAATTTTGGGGTGAACTATCCCTTTAACGGTGATATTATTTTAATTGTTATATGCAACAATACACAAAATATTGACACCAAGATACATTACATTCAGATCTCAGGTCAGCATGTGCAATAAAGCTATATACTTGAAGCGTAGCATGAATTATGGTCAGTTATTCTTTTGTATGCAGCACTTTAGATACATGTCTACTTAATGAGGTGCTAATTAATTATCACACGCTTTAATGAGGACGCTGACATTCTGTAAATTGAGGGTGTAGCTGTGAAAAACAGGCGTTCAGGAATAAGAAAAAAAACCTAAATAAATAAATAACTAGACTCCATGCTTACGAACACGGCTTCGTTCTCATAATGATATAAAATATTCTTCCCCCGTTTAAGGCCCTATTAACAATTTAAATGACCCTGACGCCAAGCTTTTCCACAGGCCTGCTCTAGTTAAAGATCCAGATCCCCAAGGCCCATTTAACAAGGATATTACTAAAATCCATAACAGCACAATCATTACAGATGAGCTGGTTTTAATGCAGACTATTTAACTGATTGCTGACCACAACTTGTGGACAAGATCTCTGTTCTCACTGCGATATTTCTGAGCAGAACTGTGCCAATACTATCAAATTTCAAATTATTATTATTCTTTCACACAATATTAAACTGTCTATTTATTTATGGGGTCATAATTTAATTACACAGATCTAATGATGATGAAGCAGGTCATCTAAAAAGGTGGTAACTGTGAAACTGGCATTTCTCAGTGAGGTTTACCGAGTTGTATTTTGAAGTACTCAGGGGACAGGTAAAAATAATGAATTTCTGATGAATCGCAATCATCATTTGAATCGCACTTCATTGATATTCATTCTTTAAATCAAAACCTTTTTATCCAAGTATATTTTTATTTAAGTGATTGTGATAAAGCGCAGTACATCCTTCAGATGTCAACATGGAATTATTTATTAAATTAATATTTACATAATATACTAAGTTAACAGGTTAAGCTACACCGCTTTTTCAGAAGTCACCGTAAAAGAAAAAAAGAAATCATATGACTGTGATTGTGAGTTCACAGTCTTTACTGAATTTTATTCAATAAAAAGTCTGTGCACCGCAACAGAATTGCAAGAAACGCCTTTCTATGTTTTGTTGTCTTTGTAGGTGGCACACAGAAACAAACATAACATGAACAGCGTGAATCATATTAGCAAACAAATGAATCTTACCTACCGGTTCTTTTTAGTAACTCGAAAACATATAGCATGACCTAATCCCGAATCCCAAAACAATGACTCTTATGAGCTGGTAGTTCTATGCAATTTACAACAAAAGATCAGGAAATTTCCTTCATATATAACCAAAACAGACTGCAATGAATTGTAAATGGATCAAATCAAATCTTACTCAAATTGAGAGCTTGTATCAAAACAGATCAGGAAATCTGTATCAATACCCCGCCCTACTTTAAAGATGAATTATGATTCAGCTTGAGAAGTCTCTAAAACACCTTGACATATTGAAAGATTCAGTGTTTAATTACCAGTAGTTCTTTTAGCTGTTATTAATTTCTTTTTATCTTCTTTTGATCATGTTTCCTTTTATTCTGAGTGTATTGCTTCGACTTTACTACTTTTCCCATCCCTACAACGTTGAAACATTGTGTTAGTGCAGTCAAAGTTTCTTTCATCTTTTCGGTCTGTCTGTCTTTCCCTTCTGTGACTGACCATGCCTGTCTGCCTTTGAGCTTGGCCTGCAGGAACATCAAATCACTCAGGACATCTTGGAGGTCCGAATGTCACTCGTTTTCATCCCTCCCTTCCTGCCAGCCGTTGGCAGGAAGATGGAGGCAGAACACACCGGGGAAGAAGCGTTTTCCACCTCTCCGTCCC